GGGGTCAGGAGGACCGCAGTTCTAATCCAGGCAGTTCTAATCCAGCCGCAGACACCTACCAGCTGTGTGACCCCAGGCGCAAGTCACTTAACCTTAACAAAATTATTGCCTCCAACAACAACAACAATAATGATGATACTACTACTACTACTACTACTACTACTACTACTACTACTACTACTACTACTACTACTGCTGATACTACTACTACATTTATGTAGCTTAGAAAGCACTTTGTTGACCAAAGGGCTATGAAGTTGACACTGTAAGCTTTATTATCCCAGTTTACTCATCTATAAAATGAGGGGGATTGAATTCTATGGTCCTTAAGTGCGTCCTTTGTAGCTCTAAATCTAAGAGCCCATGACAGATGAGAAAACAGAGTTTTCAGGTGATTTGCCAAGGCTCTCATCACCATAGTGGAAAGAGCAGTGGATCTGGAGTCAGAAGATGTGAGTTTCAAATCCCAGCTCTGCTGTTTATTACCTGCTGTATGACCTCAGGCTGGTCACTTAACCTCTTGGGGCTTTGGTTACCGAGTTAGACAAAATGATCACAAAGGCCCCTTCCATCTTGAAATCTTATTTCATTTTAGTCTGAGCTGGGCCTTTCGATGCTGGGTCTCTAGACCCCACATCTGCTATTCTTTGTGTTATACCAGCCCCAAAACCACATTTCTGCTATTCCCTGCTCCCTGCCTAGAATGCCTTTCCACCTCCTTTTTGCCCCCTTCCTGAGCCCTCTGAAGCACCACTTCTTTCCTAACCACCTCAGAGCTTCACGTGAGCATAGAGCCAGCTACCTGAAAAGAGAATGTATTCTGAATCTCACTCATTCTCCACTGCCCCTCCTAGGGTGGCCTTAGAGCCTGGAGTTGACTCTAGCTAGACCAACAGACATTAGGATGATAAACAAGTCTTCTGAGGTGGACTCTTCCAGCCCACATCTCTGCTTAGAAGGATGGGGTGGGGGGAGTGAGGATGCCTTGCTTCTGTACCCTAGATCAGACTTTTGATCAGGCTCCTTTCCTACTCCTTCAGTTCCTGGGCAGTTAACTGGGCCCTATGTCTCCCCTCCTCCCTGCCCAAGGGATGCAGGAGCCCTAGGTTGAAGTCTTTGCCATTATTATGCAGCTAAAAAAGTCTCTTTCATTCCCAAAGCGGCAATTAAGTATATATTGTGTACAGAGCCTTGAATTTAGCCACTGGGGAGGCGCAAAGTTTAGAGAAGACAAAAAACCTACTTTCATTCAGTTCATATTGTGGTCAGAGGATAAGGCACATCCCACCCTTAATTGTATGGCAAATGTGTGTCTAGATGGGTTGTGTAGTAGTGGAAAGAGCACTATATTGGATGCTGAGTGAAGTGAGCAGAACCAGGAGAAAGTTGTACACAGTAACAGCCACGTTGTGCGGTAACTAGCTTTGATAGACAGCTCTTCTCAGCAATGCCAGGATCTAAGACATCTCCAAAGGTCTCATGAGGGAAAATGCTATCCACATCCAGAGAAAGAGCTATGGAGTTGGATTGCAGATCAAAGCATATTATTTGCTCTCTTTTTTTTTCTCTTCTGTTTTGTTTTGTTTTTCATTTCTTGTGGTTCCTCCTGTTGGTTCCAATTCTTCCTTACAACATGAGTAATGTGAAAATATGTTTAATAGGAATGTATATGTAGAGCCTGTGTCACATTGCATACTGTCTTGGGGAGGGAAGGGGAGAAAATTAAAAACTCAAAAGCTTATGGAAGTGAATGTTGAAAACTATAAATAAATTAATTTTAAAAAATACTTATACAGGAAAAATGTTGAAAGGTTTATAGCACAATAAGATATCAATTTGAAATATAAAAAAGAACACTATATTAGCAGACATGAGACCTAGATCCTAATGCCCCAGGTATCACTCAAGCTGTGTGACCTTAGATAAGTCATTTAGCTATTGATTTGCACCGTCTGTAAAATGAGCACGATAATCTCTCACATTCACATGGCACTTTATGCTTCAAAGAGCACTTGTGTGTGCAAATACTCAGGCCTGTCAGAGTCCTGAGACCAGAGGTGAGCTGATGAGAATATATCAGCTACTAGGTTTGTACCCAAAGAAAGATGTGTTCTCTAAATTTGGCAGATTACTCCCCTCTTCTCCCCCCCTCCATCCTCTACATCCTGCACTTGGATGTAGAGCTCCATCTCATGGCCTGGTTTGTGAGAGACCACAGTATCCCCTTGATAAGTTAAGACATGGGTCCTGAACACTAGGTTTCTAGAATAACTTTATGTCACTGTTAACTAAACCTTCCTTTTGTTTTTTCTTAAAAAAAAAAAAAAACAGTCTGTGTTTTGTCCTTTAGCTATTCAACTATTCCCCTGCCTTTACAAGCAGATTCATCACTGACATGGAGTTGGGCACATAGGGTGGGGTGGTACATACTCAGTATAGATTTATTGGATGAATGTGTCAGTATGCATCCTTTATCTCAGATATATCACCTGGAAGCTCCCTGGTGTGGGGAGTCACTTGTAGTTCTAGTTTGTGGGATGGTTATTACCAACAACAATAAAACTTCAGAGGTAGCATGGGAGCTTGCTGTGAAATCAGGAAAACCTGGGTCCAACTTCCATCTCAGAAACAAGGGCTTAATGTAACTCTTAATTTCAGTGCTCCCTCAGACAACTCTCTGAAGACCAGATGTTACATAATTGCATATATACATATATATATATATATATATATATATATATATATATATATATATATATATATATATATATATATATATATAAACACTATGTTAGATTACTTGCCATCTTAGAGGGGGGAAGGAGAGAGAAAAATTTGGAACTCGCAATCTTATAAAAAATGAATGTTAAAAATTGTCTTTACATGTGATTGGAAAAAACAAATACTATGTTAAAAAAAAGACTAGATATTATCCAATAGTTACTTATCTGCATTAGTAAATGAAATTTACTCGCCTAGAGCCTCCGTACTTATACCTATGAAGTCATATAGACCAAAAAAATAAAAGAACCACCAAAATTTCAGTGGTCAGGCAGTAACAACAGTTAATGTTGCAGTGCCACTTACAGAATGTTTCACATTATTTTATTTGATTCTCATAATGATGCTATGAATTTGGCCACTACAGCTTACATAGCCAATATGTGTCAAAGGTGAGACTCTCACAGATTAGGCAGCTGCGGCCAGAGAGGGGAACGGACATTTAATTAATGTTAGAACTGGACCGAAAACCTAGATTCTTGACTAGGAAGAGCCCGGGGGTCTTTGCTCTACGTCACAGAATCACAGAATATGGGGGTTGGGAGGGAGCTTAGCTATCCATACCTGACCAACCTTTGTAGCTCAACTGACAGTGGTTCTCCAACCTCTGCTGGAAGCCTTTCAAGTCATTACTCATAGTTTGGGGTCAAAACAGTCAAATCTCCCACATGATAATCTTGCCATCCCCCTCCCCCAGTCTTTTCTTCTTTATACTAAAAATGTCCAATTCCTTCAGCAGATCCTCACGTGGTGTAAACCCAAGGCCCTTCCAGATACTTGTTGCCCTCCTCTGGGCATTTTCTACCTTATCAATATTTTTTTCTGGAACTTGTAGTTTCGCAGGCAAAGAAGCCCCTTCCACCAAAACAGATTGGTCTGTGCAGATGGGAACTTATAGGCTTGGAGACTTGCCTGGGTGAGCTAGGGGGTCACCTGACACAGTCAGGGTCATGCAGTGTGTGTCAGAAGCTGGGCTAAAACCCACATCTTCTGGTCTTCCAGAAGCCAGCTTTCTATCCTTTGTCCCACACTGCTGTGTTGTTGTCATTAGTGATATCAAAACCCAGGCCTTCCTACTCTGACTTGAACTCCAGAACTACGTATTTGTTCAAAAGAAGACAGAGTATATATTGATTAGAGAAATGCAAATTAAAACAACCCCAGGGTAGCACCTCACACCTATGAGATTGGCTAATGTGACAGAAAGAAAAATGATAAATGTTGGAAAGTTAGGTCACTAATGAATTGTTGGTGGAGTTGTGAACTGATCCAGCCATTCTGGAGAGCAATTTGAAACTATGCCCAAAGAGCTATAAAACTGTGCAGCGGTTTTTGATCCAGCAATACCACTACTAGGTCTGTATCCCAAAGAGATGATAAAAAAGGGGAAAGGACCCACATGTGCAAAAATATTTATAGCAGCTCTTTTTGTGGTGGCAAAGAATTGGAAATTGTGGGATGCCCATCAACTGGGGAATGGCTGAACAGGTTGTGGTATATGAAAGTAATGGAATACTATTGTCCTATCAGAAATAATAAGCAGGTAGATTTCAGAAAAACCTGGAAAGACTTACATGAACTGATACTTAATGAAGTGAGCAGAACCAGGACGTTGTACACTAACAGCAACATTTGTGCGATGATCAACTTTAACTTTGATAGACTTAGCTCTTCTCAGCAATCCAGTGATCTAAGACAATTCCAAAAGACTCATGATGGAAAGTGCTATCCACATCCAGAGAAAGAACTATGGAGTCTGAATGCAGATCAGAGCATACTATTTTCACTTTTTTTTGTTTTTATTTTTTCTTCCTCATGGTTTTCTTTTTTGTTCTGTTTCTTCTTTCACAACATGACTAATGTGGCAATATGTTTAACATGATTGTACATGTATAACCCATATCAGATTGCTTGCTGTCTTAGGGAGGGGGGAGGGAAGAGAAGGAGGGAAAAAAAAAGAAAAAAACAAAGCAGTGTAGTGGAACCTTCACCTCCTTATTCCTGGAAACCCTGCCTCTCATAGATACAGCCCAAGATCGAACCTACTTTTTTGGCTGCTCTATCACTCATTGATTGACTCATTGATTACACCACATTTCTCTTCTCTAGCTTTTCCTGATAATAATCATGGCCCTTGCTTATCTACCCTCCCAGACTGAGTCTCTCCACACTCACCTGTAGGTTCTCACCTGTCTTTTGTCTTGCATCTTCTTTTCTAGGGTCCTCCCTCTGCTGGAGCATACCCCTGGCCAGATCTCCCCAAGCAGCCTGTCTGGCTCTGAGCTCAGCGAGGTCACCAGACCTTATTCTCGCTATGACCTGGATGAGATTGATGCTTACTGGCTGGAGCTTGTCAACTTGGAGCTGAAGGAAATGGGTATGTGTGCTGCCTGCCTTGTGGCTTGGGAGGTGGGGGCATGGGGTCTGAGAGACGGCAGAATTAGGACTCAGACGCACCACTTACTACACCCTAAGCAAGGAGGCTTACTTCTGGTAGCAGCTTCTTTCAGTCAAGCTGTTCCTTGAATAAGTGAGCTTTGATCCTAACTGTTAGCCCTAAGACCTCTTTGTAAAGAGTTGCTTAAAGTTCATGGGTCATGATTCTGAGGACTCTGGCAGAGAATGGGCAATGACCTGATGTAGTAATTGGGTAAGAAAGAAAGGAGACAAAAGATGGCCTTTAGCCTATTTCCCATCCAGTATGCCCCAGGCTTTTCATTGGTTAGACTATATCTGGAGATGAGGAGGATGGTGGTGACTGTCGTGGCCACTACTAATATAACGACAGGACACCATGGTCTGCCTCTTAGGGAACAGGAACAGCATGTGGCCATTGGCCGTGTCACAGTGTCTGTGTCTGTGTTAATTACCAAACCTTTAATAAGTGTCTACCGTGTACATTGACTCATCTTTGGTGGGAGGGTGGGAGGGAAGATGAAGGCAAGTGCATGTTGGTGACAATTATACATACTTTCCCTGCTTTTGTGGCACAGTTCAGCTGGGAAGACAAAGACAGCATACAGAAAACCCTCAGAGTACACAAACTTCAGCTACAGATTTGGTGTCACAAGACCTGGCTTCATCTGACTCTTCCACTGCATGTCTTAGCCAAGTTACTCTTTGGGCCTCAGTATTCTAATCTGTAAAATGAGGGAGCTGAATTCAATGATGTCTGAGGTCTCTTGCAGCTCTGAGCTTCTGTGATCCCATAGGGAGACTGTTGCTGTAGGGCCTTAGAGCAGGAGATCAGAAGGGGTAAGAGTGGGAAGGAAAGACTTCTTGGAGTAAGGAAGGCTTGTGCTGGGCTTTGAAGGGGTAGTCAGAAGTTTAGAGAGGCAGAAAAGAGGGTTGGGGCCTGGGCCTGGGAAGGGAGCCTTTCAGTTAAGCAGTGACACGAGGAGCAAAGGTACAAAGGCAAATGTGAGTCTGGTATGTTTGGAAAGCAAAGAAAAGACCAGACTACAACAGACACCACCCCAGCCCTTTGTTGGGTATTTTTGTGCAGCATTCCTTCCTGCTGATGTTTTCTTTCTTTTTCATGTCACCTTCATATAAAATACATTGTCACCCCTTCCTTACTTGAGAGAGCTATCCCTTATAACAAAGAACAAAAATGAGAATAGGAAAGAAAATCAGTTCAGAAAAATTAGTATGTGTATGTGTGTATAATATATCTAAACTAAATCAGTTATGTGTGTATGTATGTATATGTGTGTGTATATATATATATATGTATTAACTAAATGGGGGGGTGTATATGTGTGTGTGTGTGTGTGTGTGTGTGTGTGTGTGTGTGTGTGTGTATAAACACCTCAGTCTGACCATACAAGCAGTATTCCACATCCATAAACCTCTCTCCTCTACTTCTACAGAGAAGGAAGGGAGGTACATTTTTTCATCTCTTTATAGAGCACTCAATCTGGGTGGGGTTTTTTGTCCTTTCCATTTATACTGTAGTCATTGTTTTGGCTGCCTCCTGGTTCTGCTCACTTCACTTCCCATCAGTTCTTAGTAATCTTCTCATGCTTCTATTTACTTTTCATCTTTTCATATGGCATAGTAAGATTCCATTACATAATGTCCCTCCATTTGTTTAGTAGTTCCCTGGTGGATGGGCACTTAATTTGTTTACAGATTGGTTTTTTTTTTTTTTGCCATTACAAAAAAGTACCAGCGATTTTTTTTTAACGTAGTCAGGTTTATTCTTAAACAGGCAGAGACACAGGAAAAGAGCAAAAGGAAGCAGAGTAGGAAAGAGGCTGGTAGATAGCAACCTGAGGTTTTCATCTGGCTCTTCTGCTGCTGGTCTATGTGACCTTGGACAAAATCTCTTTCCCTTTCTGAACCCCAGATTCTCATCTGTAAGATTGAGGTATTTGGAGTAAATAAATTTTGAGCTCTGGGTAAATAAATTCCCTTTTCCTTCAGGGACATAGATTTCAAAGTAAACCATCTCTTTTCTTACCATTTATCATAATCGTCTCATCACTTTTTCCTTTCTCAGTATTACTCCTTCCTAGCTGTTCTGCTTTCTACAGTGGGGTAGACACTCTCCCTACTCTTCCCATTTATCCTCAGCATCCCCAGCTCCGGTGACTCATGTCTGAGCTTTGGTTTCTTTTCTCCATTGTCATCCTCCCTAAACAAGAAACCTGAAGGATTCTCACTGACACCTTAAGCAAACATGCCCCAGAGTTAATAAATTCAACCACAAATATTTATTAATCACACCTAATTTATGGGATTAATTTAAGTGGGGAACTCTTCAAAGTTCAGAAAAGAATTCCCTGCCTTCATGGAGCAAGCTTATGGTCTAGAATGGGATAAAAAACATACATAGATAATTTTAACATATATCATCATCATTGGTTCACATTTATATAGCATGTTATGGTTGTGAAGAACTATGTAAAATGCATTATTTTATTCAGTCATCACAAAAGTCATTGGAGAAAGGTGTTACTATCCCCATTTTTGTAAAATGAGGCTGAGAGGCTAAGTTATTTGTTCAGGATCATACAGCTAATAAGAGCTTAAGGGACAATTTGAACCAAGGTCTTCCTTTTCCAGGTAGCACATTTAACTTATTAAAATGCTTTTATATTGAGGTATAGTAGAAGACACTCTGTCCTAGGAGTCAGGCCCGATCTTGACTGTGACCCAGGGCAAGTTAATTTCCCCATCTGGGCCAGTGTTTCCCCATCTGTAAAATAAGGGGATTGTCTTGTCAGTCAGTAAACATTTATTAAGTACCTATTATGATGCCAGTCACTATGCTAAGCCCTGGGGATACAAAAAGAGGCAAAAGACAGTTCCTGCCAAGATTATTCTAACTCCTAGTCTAATGTTTTCTGCCCTGTTTCATAGGATCTTCCCTTGTTTTGAATAGTTTGCTGAGGCCATCCATATTTCATAGTCAGAGAAGTGAGAACCGTGTGGATAATAATAAAAGGTGCTCAGACTATTTCTGGATGCTCTCCCCAAGGAGTGACAAGGATGTCGGGAAACATTTCTAAGCCATTGGATTTTGGGGATAGGCAGAGCTACAGGAGGTTAGGTTGCTTGACCTATAGCCCCTACCTTAGAGGCTCTCCTAGTCTAAGCAGCTTCTGGCCTAAGATACCATAAGGATTGGTGTCTCCCTAACAAGGGACTAGAGCTGGAGACAACGCCAACATTGGGCAGTACCTGTTTGGAGTCATTCAGTTCAGCAGTTTATCAAAACCCTAATGTGTATTTCATTGTTTGTCAAGTCCTGTGGAGGATAGAGGTGGGAGGAATCCATAGTTACTACCGTCAGGGAGCCAGTGGTCTAATTCCATCACCTCCACCTCGAATGTTCCCCCCTTCCTCATTCACTTGGTCTCAGTCAATCCAAATCGTATCCATCCTTCGAGGTCTCCTTCAGATAGCTGCTCCTCCATGACGCCCTTCTATGTTCTTCCCGAGTTGGAACGAACTCTCCCCGCAGATCCCTATAGTACTGTTTATACAACTCTTATGGCACTTAATCCTTTAGCCTATGTTCTGCTTATTTGTGCCCTTGGGCCCAGAATGGTTTCTTTTTTTCTTTTCTTTCTTTTTTTTTTTTTAAGAGGCAATCAGGATCAAGTAATTTGCCCAGGGTCATGCAACTAGAAAGTGACTGAGGTCACATTTGAACTCAAGTCTTCCTGACTCTAGGGCTCATGCTCTGTCCACTTTGCCACCTAGCTGCCCCACGAGGAGATGGTTTCTTATTCATCTTTGTAGCTCCCACAGTGACCCACCCACCCTGGGAATTCATACGGGTTCTGTAATTCTGTGTTGAATAAATGAATATGTTTGAGTATATGTATGTGACATGTTAACTGTCAGTGTTCATGTCTTCATTCCACATTCATTCAGCTATTCATCTGTGTACTGTCTTCTCAAGACAGCATGATAAAGTGAGAAGGGCTTGGGCCTTGAGAGTGTGGAGATTTGGATTGGAATCCCAGTCTATCCACTAAAGCGTTATATAACTGTGAGCTAGTCCCTTCCCCTCTTTGGGCCAATTTCTCCATGTTATAAATTGAGGACTTTGAATTGGATGACCTCTAAGGTCCTTTCTGACTGTGGTGTTCTGTGATCCTGGGTCCCATGTACCCATCAGCACATTCGCTGAGTTAGGGGATCTGCTTGCAGGAGGATAATTTCAAAGATGCCTCGTACTGATCTTTAGTATGTGCTGGAATCTGAGAAAGTTTGTCAGAATACACTGGAACTCCCGCCTCCCTAGCCTCAGACAGTACACTCTGCTTACTGCTGCCCAAAATGGCATTAGCCTTTTTTGGCTGCTATATTGCCCCAATGACTCATTCAGTTCACAGTCTATCCAAACCCATAGATTTTTTTCCTACGAACTATTGTCTAACCAGTCCTAGCAATCTCATGATTTTTCATCTTATTAGATTGTGCCCCCTATTCAAGCAGAGGACAGAGATCTTTTTGTATCCTGATTCTTTCCATTCAGTTAGGTTAGCTATCCCTTTAAACTTTCTGCCATCTAATTTTTTCCTTTAAAAAGGTTTTATTGATCCCATCACAGATATTTCCTGATTCCTTTTCCTTTTTAACCACATGGCCAAACCCTTCCTTTTCACAAAGAACATTTAAGTAAAACCAAATGATACAGTGACCTCAGCTGACATTTGGCATCCATAATCCAGCCCTGTGGAGAAGAGAAGGCTGTGTCATCATCTCTCCTCAGGGACTGATTGATTATTGCCTTTAACATGAGTTCAGTGGCCTTGTTTTTATTTATATTATTGTAGTCATTATGCATCGTTTTCCTGATTCTGCTTTTACTTATCTCTACGTCAGTTGATAAAAGTTTTCCTTTTTTTCTGAATTCTT